TACTGAAGCAATTAGTAAATGCTCAATACACATTAGTTATCTTATTTCCCCAACTATAGGAGAAGAAACCGAAGAGGGGGCTGGGCGCGGTGGCTCACACACGTAATCTCAGCACTTTGGGAGGCCGAGGCGGGCGGATCACCTGAGGTCAGGAGTTCAAGATCAGCCTGGCCAACGTGGCGAAACCCTGTCACTACTAAAAATACAAAAATTAGCTGGGCGTGGTGGCGGGAGCCTGTAATCCCAGCTACTCAGGAGGCTGAGGCAGGGATAATTGCTTGAACCTGGGAGGTGGAGGTTGCAGTGAGCCAAGATCGCACCACTGCACTCCAGCCTGGGTGATGGAGAGAGACTCTGTCACACACTCTCTCTCTCTCTCACACACACACACACACACACACACGGGAAAAAGGGTCTTATATGCCACTTTCTTTTTGTTGTTGTTGTTGTTTTTAGACTGTGTTTTGCTCTTGTTGCCCAGGCTAGAGTGCAATGGCACGATCTCAGCTCACTGCAACCTCCACCTCCCGGGTTCAAGTGATTCTCCTGCCTCAGCCTCTCGAGTAACTGGGACTACAGGCACACACTATCACACCCCGCTTATTTTGTATTTTTAGTAGAGATGGAGTTTCTCCATGTTGGTCAGGCTGGTCTCAAACTCCTGACCTCAGGTGATCCGCCTGCCTTGGCTTCCCAAAGTGCTGGGATTACAGGCCCTTATCTGCCACTTTCCTGCTGAGGAAGTGCACGGCCTTTCTGGACAGGAAAATGTGTGCAGAATCTCTTACGCTGTACCCTAGGTTGCCCTGTGTACATAATGTTGCCCTGTGTACATACTTTACCTTTCTAGTCATGATTCTGAGTAGTTGTGTACCCTCCTATATACGCTGTATATAGCCATTGGTGAATTGTCTATATCCAGGCAAGTGCTATGTCAGTTTGATTTGCTTTGTGGATGTTGCTAATAGGTTTGTGTTTTCCCAGAAAAAGAAGTGGTGAGAAACTTCGACTGGAAGAAACAAGAGCCTTACCAACTCACCACTTCACTTTTTTTTAATGAAAATTTTGAGGATATGGTAATGAGAACACCATCAGATGAAGCATGACAATCCCAAAGAACTGATGTGCACTTGATAAATGCTTGTGGTTAGAACAGGTGACCCATTTTCCCCAGTTTCCATAAGCCATGTCCTCCCTGGTGAAAGAGCCAGGTAGGTCAATGTCAAATAAGTACTTACTGTTCATGTGTTAGATGTTTACAGGAGGAATATTTAAAATTTTTTAAGTGTTTGGAATGCTACTAAACTTTTAGGTATTGGAGAGGGGTAGGAATATAAGCAAGCTGCTATGACCAACACATAACTAAAGTGCATGTCCCAAGAATAAGATGTTAGGCCTGACGGTCATGTACATTTACTTCCTCAAGGTAAGGTCAGCATAATCTAAGAGCAAAAAGCTAAATATAAGCCCTTGGGGTCAGCCACACTTGAAAAGGAGGAGGAAATTCAAACAACAAAGTAAACTAGAAAGAGCAGTAAAAGGGAAGAAAATCAGGATGTTACACAGTCAAAACAAAAAAAAGAAAAATATTTTTAGTGGTACCAAATGCAACAAAGACTTCAAGAAAGAGAAGCAGCAAAAAGCGACTTGACCAGGAGGAAGTTAGCAGTGGTTTCTGAGGTTAAGTGGTTTCTGACTGGGCAGGTGGTTTCTATTATATAAATGGTGGCTTACATAGAATGAGATGTTGAGATCATCTTATTTCACACAGAACATTAAAGGGCCATTATAATTAGACTCACTCATTCATTCATTTACTCCATTAGCATTTACTGTGCTCTTACAAGTGCCTGATGCTACTAAGCTCCATGGGGTCACGGTACCTAATAGAAAAACCATAATTAAATCATAGTGGCTTCTCTCTCACAAGCAATCTGGGTGAAGTTTTAAAGCAATGACTTAAAAATGAAAGTCTTATTTCCCTATAGCTGTTTCAGTTTATATATTCATTTCTGACACATTAGCCTTTTGTTTTCCTTTTTAAATTAGTAAAGTTTGGTTTGCCACATCATAAAGTGTCAACCTAGAAAAGTAGCAAACTTAAAAAAAAATCAAATCTCAAAGTATCTTATATATGCTGTGAGGAAAAGCAGAAACGGCATTAATATCTTAGGTTAATTTTTTTTTTTCTGCAAACACAAAAACCCTCACAGAATAGTTCAAAGGAACCAAAGTTTACTGTTTCACAAGAAAATGCATATATGCTTTGTGTCTCTTTTTATTTATTATATATTTTTTTGAGACGGAGTCTTGCTCTGTCGCCAGGCTGGAGTGCCCATCTAGTGATCACTCCCATCTAGTGATTCCCCTTTCTAACCAGCTACTCTAATTAGCAAACTATTAAAGACACGCGATCTCTGCTCACTGCAAACTCCGCCTCCCAGGTTCACGCCATCCTCCTGCCTCAGCCTCCCGAGTAGCTGGGACTACAGGCACCCGCCACCATGTCTGGCTAATTTTTTGTACTTTTAGTAGAGACGGCGTTTCACTGTATTAACCAGGATGGTCTCAATCTCCTGACCTCGTGATCCACCCACCTTGGCCTCCCAAAGTGCTGGGATTACAGGTGTGAGCCACCGCACCCGGCCCTGTATCTCATATTTTAACAGGTTTGCTTGGGTGCATCACCAACTTGGATTCTGACAGGAGGCTGAAAACATCAAGTCCCAGAGATTCTTTTGTGAGCTCTGAGGAAAACCAGAAATGGTATTTATACCTTGTATTAGGTATTTATTTCCACAAAAGTTTGATGCTTACAACATAAACCCAACAACCCACCTGGAATAGGCCATTGAAATCTACCAAGCTTTTCACACTTTCAGAAGATATACCTAGAGATCTCTGCTTCTCAAAATGTCACCTTGCAGTGAGGAACCTGGTGCCTGGAAATAAGGCAACCCACATCAATTTTGGGACATCAAAAATGAATTATTTTAAACATGGATATAAAATGAAGTAAAATGTAAAATTCTCCAGATTTCTATAAAATAAAACTCAAAAGCTCAAAACCCCCAGCCTGTGCCACTAAGGGAAACTCACTCCCTCTGCCATTAGGATTGTCACCATGGAAACGAGCAGACCTACCGTCTCCTGTGGAAACTGGATCTCCCTCTCCCATCTAGTGATCCCTCTTTCTAGCCGGCTAGTCTAATTAGCAAACTATTAAAGACACGTGAACTTTCCTTTGTACCTGTTATCATCAGGTGAAATGTTTCCTCATTACTTTCAGAATTAAGTATACAATTCAGCACGCATATGCACATATCAGCTATAAGTGAGTTTTCTAACTGGCTATCCAAAATAAAACCATCTTAAAAATAAACCAATCCACCTGAAGAGTGATGTGTGGTGTTTTCCCTCTTTCTACATTCTATATTTTAATTTTCTATAATTTTTCCTTTTTAATAATGAGGGAAAACTTTTTTTTTTTTTTTTTTTTTTTTTGAGATGGAGGTTCACTTTTGTCGCCCAGGCTGGAGTGCAGCGGCACGATCTCGGCTCACTGCAACCTCTGCCTCCCAGATTCAAGTGACTCTACTGCCTCAGTCTCCCAAGTAGCTGGGATTACAGGTGCTCACCACCACACCCAGCTAATTTTTGCATTTTTAGTAGAGATGGTGCTTTACCATGTTGGCCAGGCTGGACTAGAACTCCTGACCTCAGGTGATCCACCCACCTCAGCCTCTCCAAATGCTAGGATTACAGATGTGAGCCACCATGCCAGCTGAGGGAAAACTTTTTTAAAAAAATTCTAAATATGACTTTAAAACGTTCTTCAAAACCACTGCAGTGAAAAATATGTATTTGAAAATTGCTGATAATCCTTTAAATATTTGCTTCTTTAATCTCAGTAGCCAAAAATCTGACTTGCTATACTTGAGTCACTATTTTTCAACTTAATTTTCTTATCACCTTATCTTACGTCAAAGGCCACACGTCAAATGTTCTAATGGAGAATATCCTTTTTCTGCAATAACTCCAAGCATTTTAAAACCCATACTCAAAATTAATGATTATTTAACTAGTAGTTTTTGCCCAGTTTTTTTCTCTAACTGTAACTAACTCCCCCTTACCATCAATTCAAGGACTGTGGCAATCAGACTAGATAGGTTCTACTAATGGATGTATAAAAAGACTCAAAACCAAAGAAATAATTCCCTGACTTCAACTCAAATTTTAGTAATTATTTTCCTTATTTCCTTATTATCCTGAAGATACAGGTTACATCCCTCCCTATACAACTTTTTAATGCAAACTATACAATCAAAAAAGTCTGATCTCTAAGAGAACACTAATCATATGGTATTTTATAACATGGAATATAATTTTTTCACAGGGAACAGTTAATATTTGCACTTTAAGATTTTTTGTTTACATTAAGTTCTGGGATACATGTGCAGAATGTGCAGGTTTGTTACATAGGTATACATGTGCCATGGTGGTTTGCTGTACCTATGGGAATAGATTTTTTAAACAAGAACATTAATTTTTTTAATACAGAGTTAAGGCCTCAGGCTTATATTTCACATCTAAAAACAGTACTCTGAGTAGAAATGTAGGGCTTAGCGTTCTCAGTGGAAAACAACAACCATCCCAGCAGATTTTCTACAAGTTAATTTAAACACGATCTTTTTAGAGGAAAACAGTATTTATTGTATAAAAGAGTTATACTTATTAATCAAAGGCACAAACGAAAACTAAGACTTAAAGTTGACCATAATATTAACAAGTCATATCAACCTGGTACCAGCTAAATTTAATGAAGATAAGTTCCACTGAAATCCTAAGGAAAATACAATAATTCCGACACCATTTAATAATTAGAAACTTTCAAACAAGAAGGAAACTATGAACATCATAATAAATGCCTCAATTTGGAGGCAAAGAAATGTAAGTTGTGTGCTGAAACCTGATGTATCACAGAACATCAGTAGTCCCTTACTGTTATCACCATCTGGCACCTTCATGAGGGATGCCATCTATTGACTGACTGAAATTAAATCACACAATGTGACTCTCTGCCTGTCATCAGAACAGAGAGTAATAAAACATTTTAACTTCTTGGTGCGAATTATACAATCAAACCAGGATAACCTTGACTGGGAAGGAGCCAGTTCAGAGAGGTCAATTTTCTATCACACTACATCAATAGCAAAGTCAGAGGAATCAATTTTCCATCTTGTAACACTACATCAAAATAGCAAATTCACAGTGCCTTCCAAAGGCCCCCCACTAAGAAAAATAACAGTCAAGAGGAACACAGGATTACTTCATTTACAATTTACTAGCTCTTCCAGTGTTTCAAAGGGATACAGGGTTTCAACGATCTAACACGAATGGGACAGAAGGTGGACTTAGAACATAGCAAACACACATCTTGATTGAATCAGCCTATTGCGAGCACAAATCTTGATTGAATCAGCCTATTGGTATAGTTTTCGGTCTACATACATCTTGATTGAATCAACCTACTGGTGTAGTTTTTTGATCTATCAGTAAGTAGTGTCGTCAGTTCTCCAACCAGGCAATTTCTAATTCACGGGGGGAACCTAAATGTCCTAAAATTAAACAAAAACAGTTAATGTACTTGTTACCCAAATTTCAACATCCGTATTTGCTTACATACATTCTAATCTATTCCTGCTAATGAAGGCCTTCCTATGTGCTCCTAGTCAGTGGCTCAAGTAAAATGCAAAGTGTGCCCTAGGGATCAATTCAGTCAACAACAGTTCTCATAGTATTTTACCACTCAAATACTAATGCCATTGAAACACACGTCTTCCCAAAATCTGACCAGATGAGTTTACGGCTTGAACAATAGCCCACCAAAAACATCTTTTTACCAAGAAAGCCACACTCTCAACGACTGATGGACTGTGGTAAATGAAAACTATGAAAAGGACTAGGGAAAATGTCAATATTGGTGATGAGCAGAGTGCACCTGCCAGGGAACCTCACAAGTAAGGTCATTATTGGGATTCTTTGCTTCTCTTCTCTCTAGGCTGAAACATGTTAGAAAAGGGACCACTTATGATCTCTAGGCTGACATGTGTATGTAAATATATAAACCCACACGGGGACTCTTGTGTTGCATAAAAACAGAGAGCATGCATAGAGAAGCTGTAGCTAAGTCATTACTTTCTGATCATGCCCTGTGTATAGAGACCTAACCTGCCTACACAGGGCTTACATAGCACCAGCTAGGTTTAAATATACTACTAGACAAGACGTTCTTGGCAAACTTAGTCCATGCATCATATACACAGGCTAGAATCAATATCAACACTGACAGAGCTGAGGACCAAAATGAACCCACCTTAAAGGTAGAGAGGAATAGGCCCGCAGATACACTGGGTTACACTATCTCATACTGGTTATTTGTTATGGCACGAGAGAGGCAGTAGGCGAGAAAGATTCCAATCAGCTAGAAATAAAATAGGAACAAAATTAAATACATACACAAAACAGCTTGAAGACCTCAAACTATATTCCCCTCTCACTTGTAATTCGCCTATATTTTCTTCCTTGAGTTTTGCTAGAGTTATGTTTAATACTCTGCACCATCTAGATCACATTCAAAGAATGTAAGTGAAGTTTTATTGCCACTATGACCCAGAATTTCACAACTCTTACCAAAGGAAAATCCAGCAAACTGTCACTCAAGGAAGATTCAGTCACAAGTTTTGGAGAAACTTTTCTTACTCTCATTTCCCAGAAAAAAACAAAGACATGGTTTTCAGTAAGTATCTTAACAAGTGAAATCTCCATCAACGAGGGCAGAGATTTTCCTGGAAAGATCCAGAGCAGCGCTACAGTAATGAAAACGTTCTAGAATCCCTGTACTGTCTGATATAGTAGGCAGCAGCCACATGGTTACTAAGTATTTCAAATCTCCAGCAAACTGAGGTTTTAATTTTATTTAATAATTTATAACAACTCAAAGGTGGCTAGTGGCTACTGCGTTAGCATAGATTTAGATATAGCTTTGCTTGCTACTTTAAAAATATATCAAGACTAAACTTGAATTAGTCTTATTTCTAGTGTTTAATCTAAAAAAGAAAATCGTTCAGAGCCATAAAACAAACTTCATGCTACAGTGAGAAACACAACTTGAGAAACATAATTTGATCTACAACGTGGAATCAACCCAAAACAACTGGTGCATAATGAATATGGGGGTAGCATCATCTAAATTTTAATAGGTTGGAACTTGTATGCAACTCATCAGGCAGTTGCAGCCCAGGAAAGATCCTGATAACGTTTTAGAATCTTGGCTGACCGCAGAGAGAACCAAGGTTCCTATCTAGTGTTTTGTTTCATGAACTATGATACTGGAAAGTTGCCATAACTAAGAGGGCACTGAGTCTTTCCACAGTTAACTGCTTTCAAAAGATATGTACTGCTGCCAGTTAATTCTAAATCTTACATTTTTTCTTCTTTTTTTTTTTTATTATACTTTAAGTTCTGGGTTACATGTGCAGAACGTGCAGGTTTGTTACATAGGTATACACGTGCCATGGTGGTTTGCTGTACCTATTAGCCCGTCATCTACATCAGGTATTTCTCCTAAATAAAGTATTTTTATATTGTGACCAGTAACCGAGAATTTTGTGAAAATGCAACTTCCCTAAAAATGTCCTCACTATCCAGGCCCCTGAAGCAAAAACTTTAAGCCTTAAAAGTGAAAATATTGCTGAATGCAGTAGCTCACACCTGTAATCCCAGCACTTTGGGAGGCCGAGGTGGGCGGATCACTTGAGGTCAAGTGTTCGAGATCAGCCTGGCCAACATGGTGAAACCCCATCTCTACTAAAAATACAAAAAAATTATCCATGATGGCACACACCTGTAATTCTAGCTACTCGGGAGGCTGAGATGGGAGGATTGCTTGAACCCAAGAAGTAGAGGTTGCAGGGAGCTGAGATGGCACCACTGCATTCCAGACTGGGCGATAGAGTTAGACCTGTCTCTTATACACATCTAGATGTGTATAAGAGATAGGTGATGAGCAGAGTGCACCTGCCAGGGAACCTCACAAGTAAGGTCATTATTGGGATTCTTTGCTTCTCTTCTCTCTAGGCTGAAACATGTTAGAAAAGGGACCACTTATGATCTCTAGGCTGACATGTGTATGTAAATATATAAACCCACACGGGGACTCTTGTGTTGCATAAAAACAGAGAGCATGCATAGAGAAGCTGTAGCTAAGTCATTACTTTCTGATCATGCCCTGTGTATAGAGACCTAACCTGCCTACACAGGGCTTACATAGCACCAGCTAGGTTTAAATATACTACTAGACAAGACGTTCTTGGCAAACTTAGTCCATGCATCATATACACAGGCTAGAATCAATATCAACACTGACAGAGCTGAGGACCAAAATGAACCCACCTTAAAGGTAGAGAGGAATAGGCCCGCAGATACATTGGGTTACACTATCTCATACTGGTTATTTGTTATGGCACGAGAGAGGCAGTAGGCGAGAAAGATTCCAATCAGCTAGAAATAAAATAGGAACAAAATTAAATACATACACAAAACAGCTTGAAGACCTCAAACTATATTCCCCTCTCACTTGTAATTCGCCTATATTTTCTTCCTTGAGTTTTGCTAGAGTTATGTTTAATACTCTGCACCATCTAGATCACATTCAAAGAATGTAAGTGAAGTTTTATTGCCACTATGACCCAGAATTTCACAACTCTTACCAAAGGAAAATCCAGCAAACTGTCACTCAAGGAAGATTCAGTCACAAGTTTTGGAGAAACTTTTCTTACTCTCATTTCCCAGAAAAAAACAAAGACATGGTTTTCAGTAAGTATCTTAACAAGTGAAATCTCCATCAACGAGGGCAGAGATTTTCCTGGAAAGATCCAGAGCAGCGCTACAGTAATGAAAACGTTCTAGAATCCCTGTACTGTCTGATATAGTAGGCAGCAGCCACATGGTTACTAAGTATTTCAAATCTCCAGCAAACTGAGGTTTTAATTTTATTTAATAATTTATAACAACTCAAAGGTGGCTAGTGGCTACTGCGTTAGCATAGATTTAGATATAGCTTTGCTTGCTACTTTAAAAATATATCAAGACTAAACTTGAATTAGTCTTATTTCTAGTGTTTAATCTAAAAAAGAAAATCGTTCAGAGCCATAAAACAAACTTCATGCTACAGTGAGAAACACAACTTGAGAAACATAATTTGATCTACAACGTGGAATCAACCCAAAACAACTGGTGCATAATGAATATGGGGGTAGCATCATCTAAATTTTAATAGGTTGGAACTTGTATGCAACTCATCAGGCAGTTGCAGCCCAGGAAAGATCCTGATAACGTTTTAGAATCTTGGCTGACCGCAGAGAGAACCAAGGTTCCTATCTAGTGTTTTGTTTCATGAACTATGATACTGGAAAGTTGCCATAACTAAGAGGGCACTGAGTCTTTCCACAGTTAACTGCTTTCAAAAGATATGTACTGCTGCCAGTTAATTCTAAATCTTACATTTTTTCTTCTTTTTTTTTATTATACTTTAAGTTCTGGGTTACATGTGCAGAACGTGCAGGTTTGTTACATAGGTATACACGTGCCATGGTGGTTTGCTGTACCTATTAGCCCGTCATCTACATCAGGTATTTCTCCTAAATAAAGTATTTTTATATTGTGACCAGTAACTGAGAGTTTTGTGAAAATGCAACTTCCCTAAAAATGTCCTCACTATCCAGGCCCCTGAAGCAAAAACTTTAAGCCTTAAAAGTGAAAATATTGCTGAATGCAGTAGCTCACACCTGTAATCCCAGCACTTTGGGAGGCCGAGGTGGGCGGATCACTTGAGGTCAAGTGTTCGAGATCAGCCTGGCCAACATGGTGAAACCCCATCTCTACTAAAAATACAAAAAAATTAGCCAGGCGTGGTGGCACACACCTGTAATTCTAGCTACTCGGGAGGCTGAGATGGGAGGATTGCTTGAACCCAAGAAGTAGAGGTTGCAGGGAGCTGAGATGGCACCACTGCATTCCAGACTGGGCAACAGAGCAAGACGCCAACTCAAAAAAAAAAAGAGTGAAAAAACTTCTAGCTTACACCTACAAGAGGGATGAAATATTTCCTAAGTAACTACAAAGACTTACTTGGAAGCAAGCAACTCCAAAGGAAATTCCTGCAACGACTCCCATTTCTGACTCTATAATGGTCATCACCTTTATAAAACAACCCTAATGGGAGGAAAAAAACAAAGATTAAATACAGTACAAGCAGCCTGTGCTTTTCTTTATGGTAATAAATACTTTGATCATATACCACTGCAGGAAGATATATTTAGGGTAATAAATACTTTGATCATATACCTCTGCAGAAAGATGTATGTATCAGAGCCTTTGATTTTCATTTTATTGAAATCTACTCTCTTCCATATGTTCTCAACAGAACAAATAATTATTCCCAACTATTTCCACCTTTTGGATTATATATTTAAAAGTGTTACTTCCCTTGAACCCAGGAGTTCAAGGCTCCAGTGAACTATGATCACACCACTGCACTTCAGACTGGGTGACAGAGAGAAACACTGTCTTTAGAAAAAGTACTAAACAATAAATAAACAAAAAAGTGTTACTTGCTAGCTGTCTGAACTCAAGTCTTACCTGCCTCATTTCAGCTTATATTTAAAAATTAAAAACTGGCCGGGCGCAGTGGTTCACGCCTGTAATCCCAGCACTTTGGGAGGCCAAGTCAGGCAGATCACGAGGTCAGGAGATCGAGACCACCCTGGCGAACACGGTGAAACCCCGTCTCTACTAAAAAATACAAAAAATTAGCCAGGCGTGGTGGTGGGCTCCTGTAGTCCCAGCTACTCAGGAGGCTGAGGCAGGAGAACGGGGTGAACCCTGGAGGCAGAGCTTGCAGTGAGCCAAGATCGCGCCACTGCACTCCAGCCTGGGCGACAGAGCGAGACTCCGTCTCAAAAAAAAAAATTAAAAACTGGGTCAATTTTGCATTCAGTTAAGTCCTCAAATATTGTCAAATAGAAAGTTTTAAAAGGCACCTTACTTCATTGTTTACTTTGTCTGGATCTCTCTGTGGAGTACAATCTTCACGTTTACAGCAACTCTTAGGAAATCCTTTTTCTGAGTAATAATTAGTATCTGTCCAATCTCTATAATCGGTGACACCACAACAATGTAACTGAAAAACCCAACAAAAGCATTTACAGTTTGTATTACAACTTTGTAGTCAAACATTTAACCTAATATTGCAATTTGTGCTCAAAACATTTACTAATCTCAATGATCTCTCTCCTGAATTGATTCAAGAGATGAGCACTGGGTCCTTGATTAGCACCATGCATGACAGTTTTGTATTGGCTTTACTTTCCTGCTATAGTTGGTACTAACAGTACCCGGACTATGATGTAAGCAGGGACAGAAGAGAACAGGTGTACATGTGAGGAAAATGGAACACATCACACTTCTTTCCCCTACAAGTGGATAGCATCTAGTAGCCAGATTCTACTCTTTTCTCTGAGGCAGCAGGGAATGTGTTCCCCTCTAGGTGGTGGTTACCACTTACCGTACTTTGGATCTTGTCTACTGCATGGCTTCTATAATCTCCTGTAGAGTTATACTGCTTCAAAGCCTTCTCATAATTATTCTTAAAGCTGTTCTTAATCTATAGCAAAGAAACACAATGTCAGTAAGAAAATCCTCCAGAAAGTTCTTTTAGTTTCAGGTTAAGTAAGTTCTTGAATCTGACCAATGGTCATATCTTTGACAGCAGCAACATGTATGGTAATTAACTTCCATGGTACAATCCTGTCCTCTAAGGGATATAGGTTAGCTGAGGGGACTACTAAGCAAAACATTAAAATATATGATGAGAACCACTACAAGTTCAAAGTGCTGTGGGAATATGTATTTATCTGAGTGGCCATGCAGTACTGCTGTATTCTGCACCCTGCTAATCTTTTTCCACTTTAAACTGAGTACAAATTCGATGCCTATGGAATTTGTAAGCTACAAAACCTTACTTTGGGAGACTGTGCTACCACTTTATAAGAACTCTCATTGATGAGCCTTTGCTACTCACCGAATGATATTTGAACTACCCCAAGTTTACCTGATTTCTAATTCAATATTAAACTGTTTTTTTTTTTTTTTTTTTGAGATGGAGTCTCACTCTGTCGCCCAGGCTGGTGTGCAGTGGCGCGATCTCAGCTCACTGCAAGCTCCGCCTCCTGGGTTCACGCCATTCTCCTGCCTCAGCCTCCCGAGTAGCTGGGACTACAGGCACCCACTACCATGCCCGGCTAATTTTTTTTTTTTTTTGTATTTTTAGTAGAGACAGGGTTTCACCATGTTAGCCAGCATGGTCTCGATCTCCTGACCTCGTGATCCACCCGCCTTGGCCTCCCAAAGTGGTGGGATTACAGGCGTGAGCCACCGCGCCTGGCCCAATATTAAACTTTTGATGATTTGCATTAAGTATATCTAATCTTTTCAAAATGCAAGGCATAAGAAGGTTATCAGTTTTGTGCTTTGAATACTTTCCTATCAGTAAAGTTATAAATTGTACTATCTCTGTTTTAATAGGTACTTACACACAGAAAAATGACAGGAAATACAAGTAATTTTCTTCTGGTGACTATCAGTCTTTACAATTTTCTAAATTTTCTTTTAAATTAGAAGTGAACCAGAATGTTTACAAGAAGGCCATTACTGTCAGCTACAGGTTTAAATACAGAGGTCTGACTCTTCTACTTAAATAAATCCATTTTTATCTTTTAGAGGATAAATTTAACATGCTAAGCTTCCCTAATTCAGGCTTACCTCATGTCTGAAAACAAATCCTACGATGGCAGCGACCAGTTCGACCAAAAAAATGAGAGTCAGAAACATTGCATACTGCAGGATAAGAAAGAAAGTCCAAGTCAGCATAAATAAGATATAGCACAGCTGCAAAGGGAGTCAAAGAAAAAAATAATGGTCGTCTTCTCAATTGGTTCATCATGTTTTCATTGAAAAGGGCAGGGAAAATAACAACATGTCTATTTTGAAAGTGGAAACTGGCAGCTGAACTGTTACTTGACAAGTTTTCATAAGGAACAGGAAAAATTGTAAAGGGCCATGGCCAGTTCCAAGAAAGGAATCCTATAACATACAAAACTTTTCTAAAACCAAGAATCAATTCTAATGAAAACAAGGACTCACCAGTTTTAGCATCCATGCAGAAGCTCGGCAGGTAGCAAAACAACCAAAGGTGCCCAAAAGAATAATGACGGTACCAGTACCAATGAGCACGAAGGGGACATTGGTGGCCTTCTCATTTAAAAGAGAAAAGTAATTCTCCAGGCTCACCTTGCCCCAAATGCCAACTGCAAGAAGGATAACGCCAGTGATCTATGTGGGAATTCAGAGAATACAAACAGTTACGCACTGTGTATAGCAGCATCTTCAAAACACAAAGCATGAGGTATTTAAAGCACAATAGGTGTGATATTCTGGGATATGGCAGATAAGGGGGAAGAGTAGAAGGGATTAGGAGCGGAGCTGCACACAAGAGTAGGCCGTGGACAAGGCATCTTATCAAAATTCTTAAAATTCATCTTTTTGTGTGTAAACACTAGCCCATGGCATATTTTACCCTAGGGATCAAAACTTCCTTAATTGTCTTACTCCAACCTTAGGAAGAAAACCTTGAAGGTGAAAAAAAAAAAAGTGATTTTATGAATTCCAGAAACTTCCCCCGTCCTCTCCAGTTAGGGATGAGCACAGGGTACAAAGGAATGGTACACAAAAGCAAGCCCAAGGATAGACTGGCGGGAGTGGAGGCATACCCATACTTACCTGCGAAACACTCCTCTCTTATGAAGCAGTGAAAAGAAAGACACTATTATGCAAGTGAGCCCTCAATGGGGCCGGGCAAGCCTTGCTTGCCTCTGCAAATGTCCACGGTCACCGTCTGCTTGCTCTGGGGGCTTAACGCCCACCTCGCCTCCCGTATCGAACTCGAACGCTGGTACGTCTGGGTCCCAGCTCAGCCTGTCGGCTGCCTTCGTCCCGCACTCCGACCCCAGGGCCGGCGAGATGCCTGAGCTCTTTGCTCGAGGCCCAGTCACTGGTCGCCGGCGTCAGGGTCCCAGGCGCGATGGCCGCCCAAACCCCACCCCATCCCCGACCTGAGCTCCCGCCGCTCAGGGTCACACCCCCCCACACCTAAAAGCCCGGGATCCCCTGCCAGCCCCAGGCGCCTTCGTCTCTCACCCAGAAAATAAAAGTGTAGATTAGTAGGACGCTCTTGAAACAAGTAATGACTGGTTTAGTCTGCAGTCTCCGAGATGGGGACGCCATGACTAGCCCGAGACCCTGCACCACCGCACCGGGCGATCGGAACACAGAGAGCGAGACGCGGAGTCCCCGAGTCTCCCCGGAAACTGCCGAAAACTTACGAGCGTCCACAACTGAGAAGGGCCGGAAACACTGTACAATTTTCTTGAGGGTAAAGTACGGGAGGCTGTCCGGAAAGTGGCAACAATTTCCAAGCGCCCCCTGCCGAAGGTTACCGAAAACTATATACAAAGGTTCTAGTGTCGGAAATTTCGTAGGTCTTCTAGTGGAGCTTTCTTCATTTTTTTTTCTATCTTAAGGAATCTTTCCCGTCCCCCCCACCCCTCCCCTCTCCTTATAACTTCACCATATTGTTTATATCACCAGCAGAGCCCGCAGCGCTCTGAGATTGGGCCTCCCTGGCCCCTGGTGCCCTAGAGAGAAGAAAAAGAATGAAGAGGTTAAAAGTGACCTAGGAAAATACATGGGAAAATACCCACAAGAAATATATTTGCAAAAAGAAAGCGGGTTGCAAAGCAATACATACAGTCACGTGTGCTTAGACAAAAACTGAAAGGAACAGTGAAATTTACCTCTGGTGGAATTAGGCTGATTTTTTTCTCACTTGTGTGCTTTTCGGTTTGTGAACATTGTTTTATGGGGTAGGAAGGGGAAATATGAATGAATTGAGGAAAACAATCACCACTTGTTGAAAGAATTTCTAAGCTAGGTATTAAAGATAATAATGACTTTTAGAATTTCCCTGTAGGACTTTGCAAAACCTCAGTATTCCTCTCTTCTTTTATCCCCTAAGTAATTGGAAAGTTGAAGGAAAGTATTTTTACATAATAGTGAAATGTAAGTTCAGCTATTCGCTGCAAACTTTTAAAAAGAGAGTGCTATGGAAATTTCATCCCTGGTGAGTGTGACCTCCTCTTAAATGTTAAAACAGAAAGGCACTGTATATTCCAGCCACCTGTTTTTTCCCATCAAAACCCAGCTGATTACAGAGAGGTTAAAACCTAATGTTATGTATTGTGAACATATCGGTTTATGTTGTTACAGCACAGGAGGTGTGTTAAGGTCTGATTTCTCAACAAAAACGTCAGCTCTTTGAGGGCAAAGACTGAGTGTTAAGTGAGTATGTGTTATCTCCAGAGGAATGGGGTTAGAAGGCTATATCAGTTCCCTATGCAATCCAACCCTTCATCATTGACACAAGCTTAATATCACAAGTGGCTATTTACTTTATTGCCATTGCAAAAAGACCTGTATTTGTGGAGGAGAGATGAATACTCAGACTTTTCTGCTTGAAACGTTGCTCTAAACGTACATCTCAGGACTAGAACACAGGAAAGTTCCACTGACTTGGTCACACAGAGCTTCCCTGTGCTTCGAATATTGACCTAGGACCAGATCCTATAACATCTTGCCAGACGTCTGAGGTGCAAGGCAGCAACTATTGGAAAATTAATTATTGCACTGCCAGGCTTTATACTAAAATTTTTTACTAAAATTTGAAAGGCCTAATACACAAATACATGGAGAATGGATAAATGTACATCTACATACACCTTCAAACACTTTGAGGTAAAGTCGTTAGGAAATAGCAGATATTCAACATGGTGGAGGGGGGTGTCTAAGTACATGCAAAGATTTCTCCCTAGGCTAAATGACCCCAACTGAGGGGTTCTTATACTAAAAACAAGGATCAAGGGAAGTCTTGATAACTTCTTGTCATCTTAAAGAGAAGTTTCTCTGAAATTTAGATTTGTACTATGTACTGGAAGGGATTTACAATGTGAGCCCAAGAGCAAAGAAATATATCTGTAGCTGAAGAAAAAACAAAATAGCAAAGCAAAAGCCACATCTTATTTCCAAGAATGTGTTGACTTTCCTCCTCTCCCTTCCTCTACCGCTCACAACGCTGCTTTGTTTGAATAACACTCGGTGCCAAACTAAACCAAATGCTGACCTGGAAATTCATATTCCTATGGCCACAACACCTTGCACCATTGCCTCCTACTCTGCTACACCCACTTCCATCTCCCCACGCCCACCATGGCACCAAACCCAGAAATTCAATTTAGTTCAAACCTAGGCCTGGGTCTGGGTACAAACCCAGACCAAAGGGGCATCTAATCCCATTTAAGGCAATTTAAGAAGTATTTCCCTAGGCCATTAGATAAATGTATTCTTTAAAGTATTAATAATGACTGTGATAATGAGCATTGACTATATACCAACCACTATCGCTAAGAGCTTGATACACGTTACCTCATATGCACGCATCACAAAAACCCTATTATGAGGTTGACACACCTAGCACCTTCATTTTACAGATGAAGAAACAGATTGAAAGAGGCTAGGTAAGCTGCCTAGGACTAAACCTGGGTAACTTCTGTGTCTTTCATCAGAAATGGGGCCCACTTTGTGATGAAACATAGCTGCTGTTGTACACACAGCTGCCTCCTCTCAGAGTAACCTGAGTAAAGACTGCTGTTGCACAGACATTTAACCACAAACAAGGGCTCCTCGGAACCTCTGAAGCTTAAGAACCTCAATGATTGCCCCAATTCTGCCTTGCACTTGGGGTTTTTTGGTTGAGTTTGGCTTTTGCCTTCACTCCAATAGCCCAGTCACCTAGGAAGTAACCCTACCTGCCCCAGAGTGATAAGGCAGAGAGTTCAGTACTTTTTCTTGTTCAACCTCTTAATTTCTCCCTCTTTCTGAGCACAGAAACACAATTTTATGCCAACCACGTAGGAAAAAAAGGAAAATACTTTAAGTATTGTTACTGCTTGTTTTACATGGAACATTTAGTACTCTCCCTTCCCAATTAACTTCCTGTAACCTTCAAGATTAGGTGTAAATGTTTTTCATTGCTAGACATCAGGCAAGCGAAATGACATAAACAAGGGCTCACTGTTAAGTCAGACCTCCCTTGTGCCACCTCCAACCTCCCTCCATCCCTACCAAGCCCCTCATCCCAATACAATCTCAACTGATTTCCTACTGCTTTTCCAATGTGAATTTTCCGCTCTGTACCAGGTAAGTACGATCAACCCCCCAATAAACAAGTCCTATTTCCTAGTCCCTGCCCACCCTCTACTTCACTCATACTTTCTGCTTCTACTGAATATCCAGCTCAATCCCAACTCAGTAAAAAGCCCCTCCTCCCTCACCTCTTTCTCTAACAGCATAACTGTCTAAACTACACACTCACTCCCATTAACTCAGCCGTATAGTCAATTACTGCAATATCTGCTTTGCATTTCTACTTACCTATTCTACATCCTACCGTCTAGATGTTCAGAAACTACTGAAGAGCTAGTGTGGCAGGGCCCCTGTGTCCCCTTTTATACTGTCCTCAGTACCCTAGGACATAATGCCCTATTGATGAGTTCATTTTCTGCTCGGCCAATCCCTGTTGAGCTGATTGCTCACTGAGGTCATAACTGGTCTCTGGGAGTAACCACACAGTAATTACTCAGGATTGATTGTTGAAATTAAATAAAAAATTAAATGTCTAAGCCATCCCAGTATCACACTATCATAAAACAGAAAAAATTAAATTGAGTACCTAGATAATGTCTTGGGACATTCCTACTGTCTCTCTTAGGAACCACTAAAAAAAAAAAAAAAAAAAATCAGCTGTATCACTGAGAGTACATCTTATCTCTTATTCACATAATAACTTTACCATTTTCATTTTCTAATCCGTTTTCTAGCATCCCTTCAATTACCTTTGGCTAAGTGACTATCATAGAATTTAAAGGCACATCCTACTTGTTTTCTTAATGTCTCACATTTTGTATTACAGCCATCAGATACCTCATTATTTAAACAGCTAATTCATATGTACAGTTTAAAAAATCCGTTGCGTTAATGGAATATCTCTTTATTTCTATTGTCTCTTGTGTATTCCCATTCTCTTTCTCTGAAATTCTATTCTTTGTCTATTTTTATTCCTTTTTTTTCCCATCCACTCCTTTCAGATGCTCTGTGAAACCTTTACTCCCTTTCCATCCCTGATCTTGCCTTCTTCAAAAAAGCTCATAATATATAGTTTGGGACACACAGACATGATAAATACTTTTAAATGGTATTAAAATTCACAATTCTATGTCCATTTTCTAAGAAAGTTGTTTCTAGTCTAGCCTGGTTGAGCTTTCCTGAGATCTCAACTAGGGAAGTCAGTTTCCATATCTAATATTTCGTAAAACAATACCTTATTTACTGCTGAGGGGCTTCATATTAAAAGTCTTAAAGTTGAAAATGGTACTGAACTTTAAGAAACTTAAGAAATTGACTATGCCTGGATGCTGTCAGTCTCCTTATCTAGCTTTGTCTTATCTTCCCAACCAAACCATAGGGAGAGGTGTTTTATTTCACTTTATAGCCTTGCAGTGTCTAACATTGTGTTTTACACACTGAGTACATGCTGCAGAAACATTGGGGTTATTATGATTAACCTCACTTGTTTTGAGTGAGCTCTTTATATTATTAATCCCAATGCTTCACAAGAATGCTGTCCCTCTCCTCTGACATATCCCCTTACTTTGATCTCCCTATGATTTCCATATTCTCCCCCTTCACTTTCTTCTTTAACCTCTTTCTAGAACCCCTCTATCCCACTCCTTCCAGCTTTCAGTGGGATTGAGGCCTTACGCAGCATCTTCACCCTGGCATGTGCTAGGTTTTGTGTTGGATGGCTGGGGATATGAAGAAGACTAGGATAAGGTTCTTGCCCTCTAAGCACTCATAGTCTAGTAGGAGTCAGAGATAAGTAAAGAACAATGTCAATAAGTGTGAAAAGTCCTAAAATGGAGATATGTACAAAGTGCTGTGAGAGAAAAGGAAGGCAAAGTTAACCAACTTGGGCTGGGATGGGCTGGGGGAAGCTTCTCAGCAGCAAGGGTGGGTAGAGCTCCAATAAGCCAAGAAAGGAGGGAAGGGACTATAGAGCAGAGTGAACACGTCTGTGCAGAGGCTCCGGGGTGCGAAAGGAAGAACAAGAAGCTCAAGGAAGAGCATGAGGCGGAGTGTGTCCAGAATTAGGAGGCATGGGATGTGCTTAATACTAGGCTAAGGACATAGATGGGGTTTGTTTGTGAAGAGCATGGTATGCAATGCTAAGGAACTCAGACTGTACGCTATGCCAAGAGGGAGCCAGTAAAGGGGGGTTTAAGAAAGAAAAACTCTGGTAGAATATATTACTTTACTTGTTGTTCCCTCTCTCTCTCTCATATTCCTCTCTCTCTCTCTCTCTCTCTCTCTCTCTCACACACACACACACACACTCAAACACACAGACACACACATTTAATATATTCACTATTTTCTCACATATAAGTTTAAAATAACCTCCTATATCTGATTTTCTGGCCCTACCCTATTTATTCAACTTTGTTTTCTGTCTCTCCCTGAAACCTCTTAGCAGTTGGCCCCTCCCTCCTCTGACCTAACAGTGAGCTCTTGTTGATGGCATTTCCTTTGCCTGAGACTAGACCAAGGCCCATCTCTTCTCAGATGCCCCCCTCCTCTGACCTCCTCCTAGCGCCCTTAAAGTCTGTAACGCAGCTTTTGGTAGTTTATTACCATAGGGAGTTGTATTGTTTTATAATTGATTGCGTCCCTCTTCTCTCCCCTACTAAACATAAACTCCAGGAGCTGGAGAGTAAGCTCCATAAGATCAAGAATCACACATTACTTGCTCACCACTGTATCTGCACTGCTCAGCTTATAGTAGATGACCAATAAAGATTCCCTAAACACACGCAATTGTAATTAAGAACATGCTTGTTTGATGTCTGTCTCCTCTGTTCCATGAGGGCAGGGATTTTTGTCTGTTTTGTTCACTGATGTTTCTCAAATACCTGGAACCACGTGTGGCACATAATAGATGCTCAACAAGTACTTGTTGAATTAATTATGAATTACAATGCCTGGGATTTTGTCTGTCTTGTTCACCACTACATCCACCACTGTTGACGTGGTAGATACTTGATAAATTTATGGAATGAATAAGGCCATGACGATCACGTCTTCTTTTTTTTTTTTCTTCTTCTGAGACGGAGTCTCACTCCCTCACCCAGGCTGGAGTGCAGTGGCGTGATCTCAGCTCACTGCAACCTCTGCCTCCCGGGTTCAAGCAATTCTCCTGCCTCAGCCTCCTGAGTAGCTAGGATTACAGGCACCACCACGCCCGGCTAATTTTTTTTGTGTTTAGTAGAGATGGGGTTTCACCATGTTGGCCAGGCTAATCTTGAACTCCTGACCTAATGATCTGCCCTCTTTAGCCTCCCAAAGTGTTGGGATTACAGGCGTGAGCCGCTGCGCCCAGCCACATCTTCTTTACATAGGTATTACTCTGTTAAGCACATGGTAGATACTCAATACATATTTGTCACAGGTGGATTGGAAATGAAGCAGGCTCAGGCTTGCTTTTGAACTTTGTATTCTCATAAGTACAATTCTTCCCATTATGACTGAGAAGGGGTTACCAATTTGCTTGCATACACAGGAGAAACACCCTTTCTACAACAGCTTAAAATTCTTCCTTCTATAACCACTGATTTTCCAAGAGATGGAAATGTCAACTGTGAGGGGAGGGAGATTGTAAGTAGCTGGTGTGTGCTATGGCAGAACAGTCTTATTATCAGATACTAAAATGAAAAAATCTTGCTGAGTGAAATGTAACCCTCCATCAGAGACCACTGGGATGCAGCTAGATTTGCTCAAACAGCCTCCCACTAAAGCCTCTCCAGGCATGCTTTCCTTCCATTCTTAGTAAGGGAAATCAGTCTTGATTCTTCAGGCAAGAAGTACATGGGGTTTTTTTGTAAACAATATAATCTTAACAGAAACTGAAGTCCAGAGAAGTTAGGTCACTGGCATGAGGGTTTCAAAGTGTATCTGACCTGATACCATATAGATTGCAAGATAATTCAGAGTTGGGAGCCTAAGGAATTACAGGAGAAATCTTAGGGAATGTCAAAATCAGCTACAGTCTTCCCCTCTCTTTGGTGTTTGTGTTTGTGAAATTCCTTTTCATTCAATTCTTATGTCATGCTGAGTCATAAAAAGAAGTGTTCTTCAGTGCAACACATCTCTGGAGGCCGCTTAAGCCAGCCTCTGTGTTAGTCATCACTATACTCACAGGCTTGGAGCCAGTGCCATTCACACTTCCCCCTCTTCTGCAGCAGACAGACTGAGTTCCTCTAATCCCTGTGTTCCTTCTCCCCCATCTTTCTAAAACCCTTCTCTGAGAGAGGAATAACTATAGCTTCGGGGATAATATAGCTTTAAGGAAACTTTTGGCAGATGCGGACGTCGTAACATCTGGGCAGTGTTAACAGAATCCCGGAGGTCGGGACAGACCAGGAGCCACTCGTTCTAGGAATGTTGAAGTAGAAGGTTTTTTCCAATTGATGAGAGGAGCAGAGAGGAAGGAGAAAGAGGAGAGAGAAAAAGGGCACAAAATACCATAAAACAGGTAAGATCTGCAACTAATCCCTCCACACTCCACTACCCCAATGCACAATTGTGAAGGGGATAAGGAGATCCAGAACTTGGGCAACATGGCTGGGGGTGGAGGTCGGGGGAGAAGTTATTTTATGAAGCTGGATCATATGCTGCTTTTCATTTATGCTGTGACCTGACTGCAAACACATGTTCCCAGCAACTTCTTGGCCCACAGCAGAGGGATGGGATGGTTGACTCTAGTGAGTCAAGTATTAAGCCTGAGATTGGGGAGAAGCTGGACACGTAAGAGGTCACAGGTTCAGAGTATTGGGTCTGAAAAAGGAATGCCTCTGCTCCAGAACAAAGGAACTAGATGGAGGCTAGATGTGGGAGAGGGGTTGGTGATTAGTTATCTAACTGTTTGTTTTCCCAGATCTCTCTTTAATCTCCTCTTTCTCCTCCTTTTGTTGCCTCTTTCTGTGTTTATCCATCTCTTTCCTTCAGCTCTGTCAGATTTTCTTTCCTTCCATCCCACATCTTTCTACTTCCCTTTTCTCCTTCGTTTACTCTTTTTCTCCATCCTGCCTCCCTGTCACTTTCTAGACAAAGTCTGAAACCAAGTAGCAATGAATTAGAAAATAAATTTTTCCCTTTCTTGGGCTTTGCATGTCCCTTAGGAACTCTGGCCAGAATCTACCACCTTTTTGTTTCTCTATTTCTAGGACTGACTCCTCCCCTGAGCATGGCATTTCATTGAAAGCATGTGAGTGAATGGGTGCTTGCTGAAATGCCCAGTGGCCAATTTATACCAATGGGCAGCAAATTTTAATACTGTCATTTACAAAGTATTTGCCTACTGGGAACCACAAAACTCTCATCCCATTAGGGTGAGGACAGGGCAGGAAGTGAGAGGGCAATTGGAGCTTGTTCACCCTCTCCTCATGTACCTCAGCAGGTCCTCCTCTACCTCGCTGACTTCCTGCTGGCCCAGCAAGGTAAAACTAGAGGGTTAGGCTGGACTTGAAAGCCAGAAGCCACTACCAAACCACTAAGCCTTAAAACCCAAAGCTAAGAACAGAGCCAGAGTATAGTTACTGCCTGGGAGACTAAAGAAGGGAAACATTCAGTCCTGTCCAATACAAAATTGGTAATAATATTGTCTAATATATAAATTACTTCCCTATATGACAGGCAATAATCAATTCATGAGGTAGAGAGTATTATTATTCCGATTTTATAGATGAGGAAACCGAGGCTCAGAGAAGTTAAAAAATTTGTCCAAGACCCCATAGCTAACAGGTGACAGAATTGGATTCACATCCAGACCTGTGTAATGTCAGTGTTCAAATTCTTAGACCACATATGCTAACACTTTCCCAGATTAGTGGCTAGGAAATGTTAGTTGAATGAATGAAACCTAATGGTAGCTTTTAGGTCACCAGGTTCCCTACTGGTTCCATGTAATTTTATGTTGGCCTTTTCCTAGTCTCAGTACTTCAGTGTCCCTCTCTATAACTTGGACCATGGAGCATTTGCAGCTGATCCCACCAGGGTCAGTTGAAGATTGGTTGTTTTACGTCCTCCTCCTCCTGGGAGGAAAAGGGACCACAAATAACAAACAGAGTCTTGTCATTCTATAACATGAAAGATTCTTATGAGGGAGATAATATAAAAAGCATTCATTAATTATAAAATCTCTCTTCTTCCTCACAGATCCCATATTTCTGCTTCCCCACTTTTGGAAGTTAATTGATGGCTGACTTCTGAAAGTCACTTTTCTTTACCCTGGTACTTCAGGCCATACATACATCTTTTCTTGTCTCCATAATCCTCCCTTTCAAGGATGGCCAGTCAACTAACTCAAAGAGGAGCTCTCTCTCTGCTGTTCTTCCTGACTCCAGCAGTGACACCAACATGGTATGCAGGTAAGTTCTAGGAGCTGTTGTCTGTTATTTCCCAGAAGGATAAGTCCTAGACCAAGACTTGGAGAAGAAAGAGTTAGACTACAAAAAGAGACACTTATTTTCTATACAGAGAAGTATTAAAGGACAATAAAGATGGTTAAACATTGCAACAGACTACCAAAGGAGGCTTTTAAGGCAGTCTAACAAGAGCTATTTGAAATAGGCCACACTAGTACAAACATGAGAAGGTTGGACATCACCTTTGAGGCCATTGTCTCACCTGCTTGTGTACTTAGCTTCCTGAAAACCATTTTCTAATATGAAATCCTTTATGAGTCAAATCTTTATTAATATTAATCCTTTTATGAGTCAAATACCCTTGTCAAGACCACAAAAATGGACTTAGACCACAAATCTCATTTGGGAAAAATAAGGGAGCAGGCAATCTATTCAAGGGAAACAAGAATCCATCAGACTTCTTCCCTCCCTCCCTCCCTCCCTGACCTTATTTATAAAATGAGATTTTTATAGCCCTTTTATGCCAAAGCTGTTAGTGGTAATACAGATCACATCCTTTTAATCAGGAATTTCCCAGTTTCTTTTCATTTGTTCTTTACTTCAGAAGGGATGGAGTTTTCTGGATTCCTGAACATTTCATTCTTCACCCAGAGAGCCAGAGAACAAACTCAGTGAGAAGAGGGAAAGGGGAGAGGGAAGGGATGAGGGCAGGATAATGAAGTGGCATACAGAGGTTTTATATGGGGCCCAGCTGGCATTCCAAGTGCTAAGAATATTCTGTGGCCTGCAGTGTCTGCCCTCACAGGGGCCAGTAGGGAGGAGTGGGGGAAGGAGACAGGCCCAACCAATGGGGTTAGGAAAATATCCAGAGATGAGTAAATAACAAACTGCTCCCATCACAGCCACAGTCATTGCAGCTAAAATTTTCCACATGCCCTTAGCTCCTGGTGGAGGCCTTTGGCAGTAGGTCTGTTTGTCTGGAACAGCTGCATCAAGTTTTCAAACAAATATGCAAACTTCTTCCCCTTTTTGGCTTAACCTGGCTTTGTAGGGGGTGAAGCACAAGGACTGACATTGAGATGAAAAAATTCAAGTCAAGCCCTTGGCAGAGCATATCCTGTTTGGGGTTAAAGGTGCCCCAAGTCTCCAGGAGATAAATATGTGACTGTCCTCCCCAACCTCCCCTAGCTTCAGTTCATTTACAGAGACCAAAATCCAGCCAAAGACCACAGGACTAAAGCAGTGGAGATTACATGGCTCGAAGCCCAGTTCTGAACACCTGTATGAAACCTCATGGCATGCAAAGGTCTTTGCCTTTCCCAAAACAGAAGCCTGAGCTGTTGAAGTCGTGAGCACAGAGCAGTTTTTTAAAAGTTAGATTCAGTTGAGGTTCTCAAAGGGCTATTTGAAAAGATGGAACTCCCTACTTCCACATGAATCACGAGTCACCACTCCTGAGGAACTCAGATTGGTGAGGCCTCCGCCAGCCCTGCAATCCCACTCATCCTTCCCTCTTCTATCCTTAGGAGACCACATGATAAGAGACATTTCCCCTACACTGCTAGCTCAGCTGTTGGGCTTGCCTTCATGCATTTGTTCATTCATTCCTTCAACAAATATTTATTGAGCACTCTTTATGCATCCAGGACTGTTTTGTTTACTTCTACAGCCTTGTCTTCAAATGAGCATAGCACAGAAAAGCAGCCAAATGTGGATTCAGGGCTAATCAGAAAAAGGGTCCAGGAATAATCAGCAGTGGTTGGGAAAAGTTAAGAATATAAATAAAGCAAAGAATGGGTTAAAAGTGTGTGCTGGCATATCTGTGCAGCCCAGAAAGTCAGACTGTATTTGTCATCATAAACCAAGGATTAATATGAATCTTGAAATAGTCTTTTAACTATCAATTACATGTCTAACTATACTTTTGTGAAGGGCAGTGCTTAGAGGGCCTGACTGTACTATGGAGGTTGGAGGAGCCCAGTAACAGACCACACAGTAACCAAGCACTGATTGATCTAAAGGAACTGATGAATGCTCCCCAAGTCCTTCCCCCAGGGCTAAAGAGGGACAAGCAGACAGAATAATGTAGGGAGTGTTCCCCTTTAATTTCATTCTTATACCCATCTAAGAATTCCACCATTTGCAAAAAAGAAAAAAATACTCAAAGATAGGCAAAGAGGGGAAATGGGAAAATGGAAAGGTGTAAAGTGGCAAGGTGGTCTGAACTTTCTCCACACAAAGCGTACTTCCGCACCCTGATGGAGACTGTAATTATCTTATTGAGTCTTCCCCCACAGTTTTCCTACATCCCCTGTAAATCTGGAATGATGTAAAATGCTTGGTGGCCTTCGATCCCACACACACAGTAAAAAAGCTGGATTGCAAAAGAGATTTTGGACTTTTACCCCAGTTGGACATCGTCAAAAGCTCTCCCCTAATCACCAGCTTCAGTGGAGTGTCTGAGTTTGGTATCTAGGGGGTCAAGCAGACCTGGGCTGGAATGCCTACTCTGCTACTTAATAACTGGGAGACCTTGGACAACCCCCTTGGTTCCTCAAGCCCGTTTCTTCGGCTTTATATTGGAGCACATTAGTAATACCTACCCTGCTGACATGTTATGGTGACATAATGAGCTAACATATGTCATGTGCTTAACACAGAATGTGAGCTGAGAGATGTTAGCAGCCATTGTCATGTCTTCTTGTTGTTGTTACCATTATCAAGCCACAGGGCTTTGACACTCCTGTTTTCTCTTCTGGTAAACAGTCCTTTGCTCTCTGCTGAGCATTTCTTCAAAAGCTGGACTCTGTAACCGGAGCAGGGAGACCTAATACTTTAGGGAATCACACACATCTGGCCTCCTGTTTACAAGACCTATAAGGCTTTGAGGCTAATACCAAACTGAAACCGCTGATGAGAATTCCATGACCCCCCCTCCTCCCCCGCGCCCACCAATGAAACCTCCCGTTATGGGAGAAAAGAGAGCAGGGGAGATGAGGCCTGAGAAGAAATAAACAGAAGCCAGAAGAACTGAAATGGGAAAACAGAAAAAAAGAAAGAGGGGAAAAAGAAAAAATGAACTCTTTCCTTTGGAATGAGGGCAAACCAACGAGGACATGATTTCATAAGGCAAACTTTCAATTGATTCATTCCCTTGTTCACTAAATTGGACTGGTTTCCCAATACCTCACCTCCCCCACCCCTAGTCTGGGCTTGTGGGGAATAGAGGAGCTTCATCATCTCGCCCTCTGCTCCGCCCTTTAGTGCAGGGGGCCCTGTGCCTCTTCCCAAGAGGAGGAGGCGAGCTTGTGGCCTGAGTGTTTACACAGGCCAAAGGGCTCCAGCACTAAAACCCAGCCCTGTCCTGGAAGCACACCCTCTCCTGGAAATAACGGAATTGTCTCTTGACTCCAACACAGCTGGCTACGCTATTCTTGTGCGTGCGTTAGGGCTCAGGGAGGCTGGAAGGAAGGCTTCCGGAAACTTTGCTCCGGAAAGGACCAAGTTGTTTTCCAATTAGTTCGTATTCATGACCGATTTCCTGCCGTCTGGTGGAACACACTGTTTAGTCTCCCAGACAGCCGCAGACCTGCCTCCACTAGGGACTGGGCCACTTAACTGGATGGAGATAGATTAGGAATGTTCCCTAGCTCGGCAGTTCCGTTAAAGTTCCTTGTGATTAGAGAAACAGAAAATTTATCCGAAGGACTCTGCCGTCTCTGTTCTCCAAACCAGGGCAAAGTGCTCACAAAACTGCTTTCATTTCCTCTTGCCTTTTAAGTCACCCCTCTTGGCCTTGGCACGCCACCCCCAGCAATGGTAATCCAATGACAAAAAGGCCCGTGCCCTGTGGGCTAGTGGAAACCTGAGTAACTGTTTCTCTTTGAGGACTGTGAGCAGGACTGTCACTAGGGGGAAGACACAGGTTCTGTTTTTTCCTCCTATCTGGGACCACAGTCCATTCTCAGAGCTTAGTCCCCAGTGTCTTACCAAGACTCATGTGTTGCTTCAAGGAAATGGGTCATTTATAGTCCAGATTGACAGGATTGATGTATGGTCAGGTTCAATTTTTTTCTTTTAGATGGAGTCTTCTAGTGCTCGCAGTAACTGGCCCCACAACCATGAGCCTGCACTCTATGCAACTGAGGTGCTGAGATTCATCCACAATAGTTCTGCTGCCTTACAACACAGGATTTCCCCCACTAAATATCCACCTGGCTCCCCACCTATGGAATGCCATGTCCTAAGGAAGTGACAAAGTTGGACGAGAGGGGGAAGGTTGGGAAGGACTTGAGTGAGAAATCAAGACACCATCTTGATATTGTCTTCCTTATTCTAGGTTCTGGCTACTATCCAGATGAAAGCTACAATGAAGTATATGCAGAGGAGGTCCCACGGGCTCCTGCCCTGGACTACCGAGGTAATCTACCCTGCTTCTCAAGCCCAGAAAAGCTCTTTTCTGGTCTCAGACCTAGGCCCTTCCCTGAAGCATCCCCATCAGGCTTGGCTCACATGTGCCCAAACTGCAGCACAGGGAATCAGGGGCTGTGATTTCTCGTCATGAACTTGGGTTACTGACTTACTGTGTGACCTCACCTCTCCAGCCTGAAGGTTCTCCATATATTATTAATCATTAAGTATCGACTAGTTACTCAATGCCTAATCCTGTGCAAGGTAAGCCTGTGGGTGATACAAGGTCTCAGATAGGGTTTTGTCCCCATCATGTAGCTGACATTCTGTTGGGGGTGATGGGGGTGTATAAAATTAGCACATGTAGGGCAAGTAAGTGTGAAGCTATGTGATAGCAGTAAATGCAGTAGGATTTAAGAAAAAGAAGTCAGGAAAGCGGTCACGAAAGATGACATTTAGGCTAAGCTTAGAATGATAGGTGGGATTTTAAGAACTAGAAAGGGGAGGGGAGAGCACCCAGAAAAGCAGATGGCTAAAAATGTGGAAGTAAGAACAAACCTGGTAGAGGAGGGAGCTAAGAAGAAACCGGCCTGATTGGAGGAGATGGAAGGTGGAGGGAGTAGTATCAAAGAAAGTTAAATATAGGTCAGGTGCAGTGGCTCATGCCTGTAAACCCAGCACTTTGGGAGGCCGAGACAGGTGGATCACTCGAGGTCAGGAGTTTGAGACCAGCCTGGTCAATATGGTGAAACCTCATCTCTAACAAAACTACAAAAAATTAGCCAGGCATGGTGGCACGTGCCTATAATCCCAGCTACTCCGGTGATTGAGGCGGGAGAATCGCTTGAACCCGGGAGGTGGAGGTTGCAGTGAGCCGAGAGCTGAGATGGCACCACTGCTCTCCAGCCTGGGCGACAAAGCAAGGCTCTGTCTCAAAAAAAAAAAAAAAAAAAAAAAAGTTAAATATAAAGAGTGAGACCAAATTAGGAAAGACTCCGTGATCTAGGGACAATACTAATGAGAGGCAGGAAAACTATCTGTGATGAATGCTGCACAGTAAGTAATTCCTGCATTAAAAGGGAAGTTAGGCCAGGTGGTATCTGATATCCCTTCCATTTCTGATTCTTTGTTTCTTTGCTTTGCAAGCCAGGCAGAAGAGTTTAGCTGTTGTACTAGGATCTACAGGGAGCCCATCACATGTTTTTGCACAGGGGCATGACACAATAAATTGTCATTTTAGAACATTAACCTGATTATTCTATGCAGAAATAGGGGTTCAGTGGTTAGGCCTGAGTCAGGGAGACTCTCCAGGAACCAGCTACAGTAATGTTGGCTAGAGATGACTGAGGGTGGTGGCAAAGAAATGGAAGGTACAGATGAACCCCATAAATGTTTCAAAGAAAGAGACGACAAGACTTAGTACAGATGTGATGTACCAAGAGGCTAAGAAACAAACTGATGTCTGAAAGCACTCAGTCTGTACACCTGGAAGAATTGTAGGACCCCTCTCAGAAAGACAATGTTAAAAAAGAAAACTGGTTTGGTAAAGATGCCCTACAGGCAGCTGGAAGCGGAAAGATGAAGTTGTGTGAGTCATCAGCTTAGATAGATGGGTTGTCTGAGGGAGCAGAAGGCCAGGGTCAGAGCTTTAGGAGACATCTGTAGACATGAGTAGGAGAAGAGGAACCAGCAAGGGGAAAAAAAAGAGAATTAGTGGCCAGTCATGTAGGAAGATATCTGGGCAGTACCTGTCATATTACAGAAGCCACAGGAGAAGAGAGTTTTAAGGAAAGGAAGGGGTAAGAGATAAATTGTGTCAAATATTGCAAAGAAATCTAATTGAGGGTAGAGAAAAGATTTTATTTGGCAAGGAGGTAAACAGTGACCTTTAAGAAAAACAGTTTCAACTGAGAAATTATCAGAGCTTTGAGCTCCTCTGAGCTCCTTCGTAGCTACCTTCTACTCATGTTCTTCTCACTGCCAAATGGTCCACACCCACTCCCTCTCTCTCTCAGCACCCACTAACTCCTAAACTCTCTACAGTCTGTTTCTCACCCACTCACAAATCTACAACCTGAAATGACATCTCTTGAAGAAAAAAGTTTTCTCCCATGAGAGAACCAATTTCCATGACCCTTTCTTGAGCGTGTCTCTCAGTCTCTCTAGCAGCAGTGAGCACCTTCCTTTCTTCTTAATCCCCCTTCCTTGGGCTCCATGGCATTTCACAATTCTGGTCAGAGCTGAAACTGGGTAAGGAGATGGACTCTCTGGTGGTGACAATAGAGAGAATGAGACTAGGATTTGAACTTGGGTCAACCCTGACCTGTCTCCTGAGCTGATGGACTACATCTCCAACCGCTGATACACACTTCCATTTGGAGATGTCTAAAACAAAAATATTTCCTCTCTCCTGAAAAGGGTTCCACCTACTGACCTTCCTACTTCTGATAACACTACCATCATTCTCTTAGTTACTCAGACTTCAGAATACCTCAGTGTCACCTCTAATAGGTCCTGTCACTTTAACAGCCCCCTTTTCCTCATCACTTCCTGCCAGTCAGTCACAAAGACCTGTCATTTCTTTATTAATCCATGGGAATAAAACTTTGACCTCACACATGGATAATACAGTTGCCACTTCCTGCCAGTCAGTCACAAAGACCTGTCATTTCTTTATTAATCCATGGGAATAAAACTTTGACCTCACACATGGATAATACAGTTGCCTCTAACTGGATTATCTGACTCATGTTTCCCCCTCCCCCAAACCTAGTGACCCACAATGATCTTTTTAAATCAGAATCTGGCCTCGGCCTAGCTTCCCAGACTAACAACTTCCTACCTGTTCTCCCCACACGAAATCTGCACTTTGGTCAGGCTGTGTTCAGTACTGTGTTCCCAACTGCTTTAGCCCACACTGAGCTTTCCCTTGCCCATTTATTCGTTCATTGAATATTTATTGAGTACTTATTAGGTACCTCTTCTGAAATAAATGTTTACTGTCTAGACACACTTATTTGGCCTTCATTATGCACTGCCTCTTTGGTTTACTTTTCATTACCCTCAAGAAAATAGTTCTGTATTTAACTGTATTTAACTATATTTCTGTATTTAACTGTATTTAACTGTATTTGTGTATTTAACTGTTTTTAACTGTATTTAACTGTTTTTAACTGTATTTAACTGTTTTTAACTGTATTCCTGTATTTAACTGTTTTTAACTGTACTTGTGTATTTAACTGTTTTTAACTGTATTCCTGTATTTAACTGTTTTTAACTGTACTTGTGTATTTAACTGTTTTCAACTGTATTTAACTATATTTAAGGAGTCATGTGTGTTACTCTCACACAGCCATGGTTAAAAGTAGATGCTGACCACTAGCATCCTGGGAGCAGAAGCCAGATTATGGGAGACTATAGTTTGGAGAGGTGGCTAGTAAAAAGCAACAGATGCAGAAGGTACTTTCACAGAGTCTGCAGCCCTATTATTAACATTAACCTTCTTCATTGGTTCTTCTTAAATGAGCATAAAGCCCTTTGGAGAAATATAAGCTGCATAAGGGCCTTTGGTTTGGAGGTCTAGTGTCTCAAAGCTCCTTTTAGGACTTAGTCTTGGCATAAAATGAATTGAGTGAAGTTAGCAATGATGAGGGGGAGGGAGTGTCCAGGAAAAGTACAACCTGAGGCCCCAGCCTCCTATGTAAAGTCTTTGTGACCTGATAATCAATAGCTCTGCAACTGTAGTGCTAAAGAACTTTCCGTAATTTGGAGATGGTGTCTCCAGATGGCAGTCGTGTGTCTCAGTCACGTGCTCCAAATGAATGCTGGGAACCACAGCATGTTGCTGCTTCAGGAAAGATGGGACACTGGCTCAAACCCAGACACTGACTTAGGGAAAAACATTCACAGGGTTGAATATTTTACACATGAAATTTCGTTTAGTTCTCACAACCAGCCCTATGGTATGGTTTATTATCCCCCATTTTACCAACCAGGAAACTAAGCTCAGGGAAATTTTAGATTCAGAGAGTCACAGAGAATTTAAACTCAGATCTGTCTGACTTTAGAGCCACGCTTAATCCACCTCTTTCATCAAAAATATAACTCATTGTTCTAGAAAAGAAGACTGGGAAAAAACCCAGAACAACCAGATCATTATTTCAAAGCAAATTGGCATGTCATTTGCTATCATCTTCACTCATCCTGCACTTTCTGTCATTCCCTTATCCTGACTCCTAGCTTGGAGTCAGTTGGGCTGTTGCTTTCCTTGCAGCTTGCCTCATCTGTGAGCAAGCTAGTCACACTGCCTGGGTTATCTGAAGATAATAGAAGATAACAGAGAAGGCCCTTTCAAAACTGTTGTCAGCACTTTATTTTCTGCATACACCTTAAAAAGAGATAGACAGATGAATAGCTACAGAAAGCAGAGAAAATGGGCCTGAGTTCAAATCTCAGCTTCTCCCCCTTCCAGCTCTTGGACTCTGGACAAACACCTATTATGTGCCAGTCACTGCTATGTATTTTATAAATGTTATTTCATTTAAATAAATTGCATGCTTACTATGTAGTGATATGGAAAGATCTCTAAATACAACTGTTAAGTTTACCAAACAAGCAATGGAGGGAAGAGTGGACATAATATGCTACCCTATGTATTAAAAAGGAAGGAAAAATAAGAAGCTATGCCAACATTTGCTTTATTTGCACAAAGAAATATTAAAAGTAGTTCTTTGGGAGGGGACTAAGTCAGGGTGGGCATGGGAGCAGAGGTTGGGGGAAGACATTGTACTTTGTAACCTTTTATACTTTTGAGGTTTTGAGTCATGTGGATATATTATCTATTCAACAAGGTCAGTGTTTACTTCAAAGTAGTAGCCTATTTTATATCTGCAGTGGCAGACACTGCGGTTACATAGGATATGGGGTTTGGAGCAGACAAAGCTTGGGTTCAAATTTCAGCTCTACCCACTACTTGCTTAGGGATCCTGGGCAATTTACTTCCTCATCTGC